TTTCTGTCTCTGTGCCTGCAAATGTGAAAGCCATCCATGATATAATTATGGAGGACCGCCGAATATCAGCCAAAAGTATTGCTACATATCTGAGAATATCACGTGAGAGAGTTTGTGTCATTATCCATGATGACTTGGAAATGAGAAAGCTGGCAGCAAAGTGGATCCCCAAACTTTTGACAACCAAACAAAAGAGGAAACATGTGGAGTCATCGGTGGCTGTTTTGGAACATTTGGCAAGAAATGAGTCAGATTTCTTGGGCAGACTGGTAACTGGTGATGAGACACGGATCTACTGTTATGATCCTGAGACAAAGGAACAGTCTAAGGAATGGAAGCACAGTGGCTCCCCCAGGCCAAGAAGTTCTGACTGCAAAGGTTGATGCAGAGGCAAATGGCAACAGTTTTTTGGGATAAGAAGGGAATTTTGCTGGTGGACTACTTCCAACAGGGTTCAACCATCAATGCAAAATATTACTGTGCTTTATTGGCAAAGTTGAGGCAAAACATCAAGAAAAAACATGCAGGAAAGCTCTCCAAAGGTGTCAACCTGTTGCATGACAACACCTCATCACACACTCCAGGTGAAACAATGGCAAAACTGGCATCTTTAGGCTTTCAAGTGATGCCCCATCCACCCTATTCTCCCAACCTGGCTCCTTCTGACTATTATCTGTTCCCCAAACTCAAAAAACACATAAAGGGACAACGATTTGGGAGTGTTCTGGAGGCAACTAATGATGCAAATGAGTGGTTATGCCAGCAGTCAGAAGAATTTTATTTGCAGGGACTTAAGAAGCTGCAGGACAGATGTCACAAGTGCATTGACTTCCTGGGGGAATAGGTAGAATAGCGTGGCAGTTACAGCTTCCTAGCTCAGTTTTTTCTGGGAAAGGCTCAGTACTTATCAGCACCCCCTCATACATAAAGGGGAAAAAAAGATCCAAAAGAAATAAAGAATTATAGATTGATCTCACTTCTAAATGTAGATTATAAAATATACGCAACAATTTTGGCAACCAGGTCAGCAGCTAACGTGTCTAGTACTCAGAGGTGATAGGAGCTAAACTCCAAAACATCAGAAGGGTTCCAAATTGGGGAAAGCAGATGAGGGCCAAGCTTATCTTAAACTCAATGTGGAGAAAGTCTAGTCTTCCAGATATTTCATTTATTATTTGTTTGTCTGTGAGTTCCTTTTATATCCCTCATTTTCTTCCAGTGACCTTAAGGTGATGTACATGACTCTCACCACCCCCCCACACACACACACACTTTTACCCTTACAGCAATTATGTGAGGCTATAGGCCAGGCTAAAAGAACACAGCATAATGGCCAAGTGGGGATTTAAACTCAGCTGCTACAGCATGCAGATCCTGCAGATCCTGCCAGCTGTAACAGCTTAAGGCAATTGTGAAGAATGCTGGGGGTGGCAGCCCAGCAAAATTTGGAGGGGGCACACTTTGCCCACCCCTGTTTACTGCTTGGCTGTGGTAACTGAAGTTGCATTTTGCCTTGTTTTTGATCCCTTCTACAGAAATTTCTTGAAACCAGTATCTTGAGTGTTTCAACAGTGCTCCACTTGGTGGTGCTAAAAGCAGCATTTGATTTATGTAGAATCTCCTCACCACCATCCATGTGATAAGGGCTAAAAGTAGATAGGTCCATTTAAATAAGAAGAGAAAGAAAGAGAGGAAATGAGAAAGAAGTGGAGATTATCACACTTTAGAGATTCATAGAGACTAAAATAAACGTGCTGAAATAATTGAAGGACACCAATCAGACACATGGTTTGAACTTTTCCTTTTTGTACTATCTTCTACCTGAAACTTAATACAGTGGTGCCTCGCTTAACGATTGCCTTGTTAAACGACGAAACCGCTTGATGACAAAGTTTTGGCGACCGCTTTTGTGATCGCAAAAGATGTTCCTATGGGGAAAATTAGCTTAACGATGATCCGTTCCCTGCTTCGGGAACCAATTTTTTGCTAAATGATGATTTAGAAACAGCTGATTAGCAGTTCTAAAATGGTTGCCCGCTGTGCAAAATTTGCCCGCCGTGCAAAATGGCTCCTCGCTGTGTTTTCAGGATGGATTCCCCGCTTTACAGGCAGCGAAAATGGCCGCCCTATGGAGGATCTTCACTGGACAATGAGTTTTCAGCCCATTGGAACGCATTGAACCGGTTTCAATGCATTTCAATGGGCTTTTTGGTTTCACAAGACGATGTTTTAGTAAGACAGCGATTTTCACAGAACGAATTAACATCATCTTGCGAGGCACCACTATAAAGTAAATTACTATGAATCATCACTATTTGTTTTTTAAAATCTATTTAAATAATACAGCTTCCTTAAGTTTGCAAGAGCTGAGTAGGACTATTAAAGACAGAACCCTTTTGGAGGTATCTCAAAGCTGACAGGAAAAAAATTGATGCATTTGAAATGTGGTGGTGGAGAAGAGCTTTACCGCTACTCTGGACTGCCAGGAAGAAGTGGGTCCAAGATCAAATAAAGCCTGACCCATTTCTGGAGACTAAAGTGTTAAAACAGAGGTTGTTCTATTTCAGGCATCACCTTGAGAAGGCAGGATTCTTTGGAAAAGAAAATAATACTAGGAAAGGCTTAAGGCAGCAGGAAAAGAGGACTAGGAAAGGCTTAAGGCAAAAGGCTTAAGGAAAAGAGGAAGACCAAATACGAGATGGATTGACTCCCTAAAGGAAGCCACAGGCTTGAGTTTGCAAGAGCTGAGTAGGAGTGTTGAGGGGACAGGACGTTTTCATAGAACTGCCATAAGTAGATGATGGTACATAACAACAGCACATCCATAGGCTTAAGCTGAAGGTGACATGACAGCACATAATAACACTACCTCTTTCACCCGTTCTCCCAGGCTTGCTTATTGTACCCTTCTGGTTGTACACAGGAAAACAGCTTTCTAAAAGACTCAAGATTCAAGAAATAGAATTGTAGACAAAGTGGGAAAAAGTTGGTTTAAAGGATATTAATCATACATTGGAGCATACATCTAGTGCTTCTACGAATGTTATGGTGGTAGTTGTGATATGCTGAGAACTGTTAAATACACAGCTTATGTATTGTTAAACACAAAAAAGATATCACCATTTAAACTGATTGATCAAATGAATCATATTAAGAAAATCTACCAAAAAAAGGAGAATAGGCTCGGAAGAACTTGTTGTGAACAAAATTATTGCTAACATTGTATATTTTTCTGCATGAAGCTTGCATTTAACAGTAATTAACACAACTCTTATTAAGATTTAAAAAACAAAACACAACAAAGCTGCCAACAGAATGCCTGTTTCCTTTTTCCAGGCACCCAGTCCGCCACCTTCAGTTCAACAGTCACAGACTCATTACTGCCAATATTCCTGATGAAAAAAACCCTCGAGGCGCTTGCATCACAGATGATGACTTGACAGCACATCGAAGGTGCAGATCAACCCAGTTTTACAAAGCAGAAAGGCGAAGCAGGGAGTGTTGCGTAAAATTGTAAAGTTGGGAAGGCAGAATCTGTTATTGTATATGGGTGTGTAAGTCTTGGGTTTTGTGATGGCTGACAGGCTGTCGTTCAGTGGCAGGGCACAGGGCATCACTGTGTAGGAGAGAGCTCAAGAGGGACAATGTTAATTGGAGTGAAGTGAGATGGGCAACCCCCACTTGTTTTTTCATCCCCCACCTGCCAATTTGGCAACAGAAGCAAAATCCCCAGCATTTTACATGTAAAACATGGTGTGCAGTGAGCACACATCTTGTTTTCAAGCTGCAGAAAACTCTTGGATTTTTCTTAGCAATGAAAGCAAAGTTCATGTTCCCTATAAACCTTGCTCTAAAAATAAAATTGCTAGGTAGTGCTATCATCAAAATTCCCTAGGGATATGAATAGCAGCACCATGGATGCCACGAAAGCCCATACCCTTCCCCCAGAACTGGCCAGTCCACTCATTGTTAACAGCGTGACTCTCAGCTCTCTTGTCATTGTCATCACACGAATCGCAGAAGGAGCCTGGCTGGCTCTTCCACGCCTCCCTGCACAGCCGACCACTGTCACACGGAGGCAAGACAGGGAGTCTCCCCATTCAGCTGGTGAGTGGTTGGCTGCGTGAGGAGGCAGGGAAGAGCCATCCAGGCTCCTTCAGCAATTGGTACAATGACAACAACAATGGAACAGCATTGCAAACAGTGAGTGGACTGGCCAGTCCTGGGGGGAGGGAATAGATCTCTGTGTCACCTTGTGATGCTGCTATTCATATTCATATCCCCAGGGATACAAATACGAATAATGTCTAGTAAACATGTATAACCCTTGTTGGGTTCCAAGTTCAATATGACTTCTCCAGAAATTTTCTGTTCCAGGGTAAATTATACTTAAGCCAATATTCTGATTTGGGGTTTGACAGGCTCCTATGTTCATACTATGGATAAAAGAATGGAGCCTGCTAAAAATCTGTTAGCTGACATAGATGTTTATTGGTAGCCAAATCAGCAATGTCTCAAAAGTATAAACACCTAGTTATAATTTTTCTAGCCTGAAAGTAATGAGCTAGTTTGAAATTGAAACAAAAGTGGTTTGCCTGTCAGTTGGCACATAACAAACCCAGTGAAACACATATTGAGTGCTGTTAGTGTTATTGCCCCAAATCCATCTGTCAAGGCCTCTGGTACTAACAGCTAGTGTATATAGTATGTCCTATTGCAGAGCACAGGTGCTTCCTCTACTTTTATTGCATTGTTCTTAGGAAATACTGTACTTTTCACTCAGTTATCGGACATCTAATAAGGTTTGGAGAAATATCTTGTTTGGTCCACAGCTTTGCCACTGTGAAGCTAGAAGTAAAAAAATACATATTTTTCTGAGCTTCATAAAAAATGAAGAGTAGTAGCTCATCTACAAATCACAGGATCAATCCTATCAAGATCCCTGGAGTACAGTGGGACACACACTCCATCCATGGGATCAGTATCTGCAGATTCATTTATCCACTGCCTGAAAATATTAAATAAAACTCCCAGAAACGTGTATTTCCACAGTGTAGCTACCAGAATTAGCCACTAGAGGGAGACAGAAACCATGCTATTCATAGCATTCGCTATTTTTAATAATAATAATAATAAATTTATTGTCATTGTAAGTATATACACAGTATATCCATACAACGAAAATGGTTTTCCAGCATCCATGTGGTGGTGGGAGCTTGGAACCAATTCCCCATGGATACTGCAGTCCTACTATATTTACCTGAGTTTATGTTTCACTCTTATCTACCAGATGATACGGGATCGTATGTTTTTAAAGTCATGTCTTTTTTTCCCCTGTTCTTTTTCCCACCCTCAAATCCATCTTCATGGACCAGACATCGAGGAATCATCTATGCATATGAATTCTCTGTGGACCAATTGACTCCCAAGAGTGTCCTTCCTATTTGCCGCTCATCTTACAGTGAAGTAACAGGTTACAACTATAGCCTTGGCCTTGCAGTACCATATGATAATATCTAGGTAACTCTGGGAAAGAGGCTGCTGACTGAGGCCAACATGGATTGGAAAGGTTTTTCCAGTGACCTGGAAGTATCAAGCAGCTGCATTGATTTGCATTGCAACAGTAGAAGGACTGAGAGTGAATGACTGAAGATTTCCCCAAAAGGTATTCTTCTGCAGCCTGCCAGAGGAGAAAAACCAACTGGTGGTCAGGCATGCGTGCTGTGTACATTTATCGGAGAAGTGCTAGTCCACAGGAACCATGGCATAAATTGAGAAGTGTCACAAGAGAGTAGCAGTGACATTAAGCCAAGCGAGCAGGGAAGCTAGACTTTGTCACCTTTCCCTACAGCTCAGGAAGTAGCTTACCATGATGTCTACTGATGGAATACAGTATTAGTATTTCTTGGCCTACAGATCCCATCCTTCCCCTGTCTGGAAGTTCTACTTGAAAGATAGACACCTAAATGTAGCTCACATGGGAGAAAGACCTCAATTGGTCTGTTCCAAATGAAAGCTTTCAAGTAGCACTTAGGGCAGAAACAGGATGCTACATAGAGCCAGCCCTAGCTTAGATTCAGAGCCTTCCAGATGAAGCCTTTCTCCCAGGTGAGCTACATGTAAGTGTCTGTCAAGCAGGACTCCCACAATTAAGATTGTCTGAGAAATTGATAAACAAAACAAAAACATTTCTAGTGATGAGGGCAAACCATTGCCTGTCTGTAGTGAATGTAAGTCACTACAAAACCACTTCTGTTGTGAAGCATGGCTTTTATGTTCTGGACAGATTTACGTACATCTCTCTCACACACACACACACACCGCTCTTTTTTCCCATAAGAAATTCTTTTTTAAAAATTCTCAATGTTGCTGTTAAAATCTTTGGGAGAGAGACTATTAGGGTTTCATGTTTTTGCTTAGATAGAAGACCCAATCCAGGAAGAGGCTTCACTGTCTAGTGAAAGGGGAATTTTCGGGGACTTGTTCAGTGTGAGCGGTGAATGAAGTGCTCATGTTACCCATACACAGTTCTACTCTGTTTAAATACGTCTGTGTAGATTCATATGCCCCTTTGTATATAAATATATATATAAGCAAAACATTTCAGCTTCTACTTTCCTCAGTTGGTCTGGTAAAAGTATCCTGTTTCCCAGATGGTAGTTGTAGAACCTAGAGAACAGGATATTCCAAAGCAGATTAATGTTGCCCTCTAGGTTTAGGCCATGAGCTATCAAGAGAGCCAATCTGTAAAACCAAAGGTTTTCTCTCTTTTCTAATGTTCTTAGATTTTGTGGTGTCTTTGTTCCAACAAAAATAAATCAGATAGGCCATGATATTGAGAGTCAAAGTGTTTGGACGCTGGCTGTTCAACCTCTTAGTCAAGACAGCAGATTTATGGTTTCTGAATCTGGTATGTAGGTCTGTTCTTGTCTGGATTTACAGACTGACAATGTTTCAGCTATCAAATATCCTGTCTTCTAGGTTCTATGGGTGCCATCTGGGAAACAGCATCCTTTTCCAGAGCAGCTGAAGAAAGTGGATGCCAAAATATTCCTCAGATAGATCTTGAAAAACCTTGATTGAAATGCAGTTTAGTTCTCATGATCTGTTTATGTTACTATAGATATGCACACATATATATGTATGATATAAACATATACACCTATGTATGTAAATGTGCATACAGCGGTGCCTCGCTTAACGGTGTTAATTGGTTCCAAAAAAAAAATCACTATCGGAAAACATCGCTAAGCGAAACACCATTTCCCATAGGAATCCATTGAAAGCCGGTTAATCGGTTCCAATGGGAACGGATTACCGTCCTTAAGCGAAAATCACCATAGGAAACATCGCTAAGCGAAAAAATGTTTCCCCCATTGGAATGCATTGAAGCCTATTCAGTGCATTTCAATGGCTTTGTGATGTCCGTTTTCGCTCCTTTAAAAGTGTCTTAACATGCTTGAAACCTGCTTGGAATGCATTGAATGGTGGGGGGGAATTCACCAAAAATTAACGAAGACTCAGAACAAAGCCAAATTAAGTTTGCAAATATTTTACAAGGTGCACTAACGATTCCATGCATTTAAAAGGTTTCAAACATTTTAAGACACTTTTAAATGAGCGAAAACGGACATCGTTAAGTGAAAATCGCCCATAGAGAACATCGTTAAATGATGCGGAAAATTCCTCAAAAAACCCCATCGTTAAGCGAATACATCGTTAAACGAAGCAATCGCTAAGCAAGGTACCACTGTATATGGATGTGTGTGCATAGAAATGTATATATACATACATTTCAATGTAGATTGGGTGTCTATGTATAAAAATTCATACATTTGCATGTTTGACTACATTCTCAGACATGCACACGCAAAATCTTACATACATGTATACATTTATAAATCTAAATTCAGAGTATCATGCACTCTTAACAGTTTGCCTTCAAAGACCAGGAAGAGAAGATTCATGGTAGTACAGAAGAATATTCCACTGTGAAAATTAAAAATAGTATCTGGTTTTATTGCTATTTCAGACTTCATAAAGCAAATCATGAGCAACTCTGTAAAGTCTACTCTGAAAAAACATCTGTCCTGGTGAAACAAATTGTCCTCTTGCTTAGTAGCCTTGGGAGGTGTCATCAGCTTTGCACCTATATTGACTGTGTGATATTTTGTCCCATGCTGCTCCAAAGGTACCAATATCTCCAGTTCAGCTTCTTCTCCATCAGTTACAAATGGCAATTGGTTCCATAGTTAGGAAGCGGACATGCATCTTAGTCTCTATGTCTATTCCTTCCCATATCTGCCATTGAAAGAGGCAAAAAAAAGATGGCTTATAGTTGTAAAACTGGTAATACACAACCAATGAAGTGCAGAACTAGCAGAACATTTTGAAGTACCCTGGCGCAGTGGTTAAACTGCTTTACTGCAGCCAAAACTGTGCTCACGACCTGGGGATCAATCCCAGGTAGCTGGCTCAAGGTTGACTCAGCCTTCTATCCTTCCGAGGTTGGTAAAATGGCTGGGGGGGTGGGGTGTCAATGTGTAGCCTGCATAATTAACTTGTAAACTGCCCAGAGAGTGCTTGAAGCATGCTTTGCTTTGCTTTAAGAGCAAGAGCATAGACTCATAGAATTAGAGAGAGCCTTGTTACATAACTAAATTCCCCTGTACTTAATGAATACAAATTAGAGTGCCTGAGTAACTGGATATTCAAGTGCTGCTTCAGGACCTCCAATAGCTGACCCTTTTATAATTCATTAAATTATTAAACTGTTGAGTCAAGAATTTATCCTGGTGTTGCTGAGCAGATTTATTCTCTTTTGACTTAAGCCCATAAGATCTAGCCCTGACCGCAGACATAACAGTCTTTGTGCTCTCATTATGACAGCCCTTCAAACATTGTTTAGGACATTGTCTCAAGAAGGCAGCTTACATCATGGCAGAATATAAAAATACAATTACAATTGAAAGTGTGCGTGCGCACACCCGACAGATCAAATATGGGAGGCACAAAAGGCAAACTGGCATGAATGTGGTAGGAGGTTAAACAAAGTCTTGTGTAGTGACAAAGAGGATGAGTCACAAAGGTGTGAGACCAAAAGTATGATGGCTGTCAGCTAAATGGCTCTTGCTGATAAGACCAAGAGCAGAGTCTCCAAGCCTGAGGATATTTTAGCCTCCTGGAAGTAGATGAGCTCTTCCTATGGCCAGTCCAGCATTCATGGGAAACAGAGCTGAACAGCAGGTAAAAATACAAACAACTCACCTTAAGAAAGTCTTCAAATGTTATTCCCTCGTATACTTCATCTGGCTCCTGGGGGGAGGGTATAAAAATTAATTTATGAACAGAAACACCTACAGGAAGAAGAATCTTTTGGGAAGCTATGGAGAGAGGCTGCAGCTCAGATCCAGAATTTCAGTCCTTTATTGACCTCCCACCAGGTGAGGATCATCACATCACTGTTGCTATTATTTTAACTAGAGCAAATTCAGAGGAGGGCATCTGATCAAGGGACTGGAAACCAAGCCTTATGAAGAAAGACTGAAAGAACTGGGCATGTTTTGCCTTGAGAAAAGAAGACTGAGGGGAGATCTGATACCATTTTTCAAATACTTGGAAGGTAGTCATACAGAGGAGAGGCAGGATCTGTTCTTAATCATCCCAGACTGCAGATGATTAAGAACAGATTCTTATGGCTGTAGATTGAGCCCAATAAGTCTGATATTCAGACTTACGCTGAATATCAGGAAAAGCATACTGTAGATTGAGCCCAATAATGGGCTCAATCTACAGCCAGACTTACGCTGAATATCAGGAAAAGCATCTTAACTGTTAGAGTGGTACAACAATGGAACCAATTACCTCAGGAGGTGGTGAGTGCTCCAGTGCTGGAGGCATTCAAGACAAATAGTTATCTCTCAGATCTGCTTTGATTTGGATTCCTTTATAGAGCAGGGGGATTGGACTCAATGGCCTTATAAGCCCTTTCCAACTCTGTGATTCTGTTTTAAGTTCCTGAAAGTTACAAGATGCTGAATGGAGAATGTGAGCCACATACACACATTCCAGGTATCAGAACTGCTAGTTGTGGCTCTGCTAGGACTACAAGAAGAACAGAAAAAATTGGCTAGATAGGCGTACCATTTGTCCTACACAAATGCTAGCAGCCTCCATCATGGCACCATCTGCTATGGATCTCACCGACTCCTTATCCAGATGAGGGTTCCCTGACAGCATCTCTTGCACCACCTGGTAGAGAGTAGCAAGCATAACTGTTTTACGTTAGAAGGTACAGAAGGACATGTAATATGGAGAGGAAAAAGGCCAAAATGATACTTTACATTTCGGTATTCTTGCAGGGTGATCTTTCCATCACTGTCTGCATCATACATGTGAAAGAGGACTGGGAGATGCAATCAAAAGAAAAAGAATACCAGAGTTAGGCTGGGCTTTCTTTGCTACAGAGCTAAGTCACTAATAGGGTGACTTAGCTCTGTGTGTTAAGCAGAAATAAGTACTATTAAGGTCCAACTTCCCTTCTGCATACGTTTATCAGAGAATTTGGATAAATTACCATTTTAGACTGGAACACCAAGTCTTTCTCTATCCCCAAAATATGCTATGAATCCGTGAACTTTTGGAGAACAATATGAGTTTTAACCCAACATGTCTTGGAGGAGAGATTGGATTAGGAAAAACTGCTGTATAATAATGTATTTTATTTGTATATTAAATAAGTTTTAAACTGCCCTTTCCTGCTCATTGTCTACAGCTAATATTAAAACAATTTAAAAAAACATGAATACACTGTCAGAAAAAAATCAGGTCCAACAGCATAGAAAACATTTGCCGGTTCAAATGGCTGAGTAAACAGGACACATTTTGAGGTGACATTCAACTGCACTATTAGCAATGGGTGTATCTGCATGAAAAGGGTCCACTTGAAACTTATCTATTCTGTACCAGAAAACATGACGACATAAGATTCCAACGGTGGGAGCTGCAAGTTCTGTTTATTAAGTACCCTAACCAGTGCAAAACCTAGCAGCTTGACTAAGGAAAAAAGGATGGGAATGCACTCACATTTCAATTTCTGTTTCCTGAAGTAATCCAGCTGCTCTTCACTCATGTTCATTTCTATGGGCCTAAAGTTAGACATGATGGTCAAAAAGTCTTCAAAGTTGATCTCGTCAACCTGCCCCTCTGATGATTCTTGAAGGTTCCTGTAGAAATACAAAAGACACCCACACCCCTGGAAAAATACTGTACATTTGCAACAGGTTGTGTAAATGGGAAGAGGCTACCTATTCCATGTAAAGATACCCCCCCTCATTGGTTCATAACTAAGTCCTTAAGTATCTCATTTACCTTGAAAGCCTAATTGGGGTTGCTATAGGTCTGTTCTAACTTGACAGCACACAACACAGTAAATTATAAAGTGATACACTATTGCACAGCTATATTTATATGGACAATGTAAATGAGACTTAATCCATGCACATACGTTTTATGCAATTTTTTTGTTTTGCCCTTCAAACACACCAAGAGCAATTTTATTAAGAGCAATAAAAATTAAAAATATATAATAAAACAGATAATAAAAATGCATTATGTGAAAATAAATCACCAAAGTTCTTGGTTGTCTATGCTGCAGGCATATGCATGTAAAAATAAAATTCAGTAAATCAGCTTTCCCTTATCCAGTGGAAGGAGAAAGTTCTAGCCATCTCAAGTTGAACTCCACAGAAGGTGGCTCAAAGATAGGAAAAATACTGGAAACCGGCAATTTTATTGCTAAGTTTATATTTTTGTATGGTAAAGTTTTAAGTAAGCCAACAGGACAGTAATTTTCAGTTCCAAGATATGGATATCCAGCTATACAAACTGAGTGACCCAGAATGGGGAACAAGGTTGCCATGTTCCTACATGCCTTGAAGTTATTTGGGCCTGTTCCAACCTATGAATCAATTACCTTCAAAAGGTCAAATCGTTAAAGCTTTACTCTGGTTTTGCAAACTAAAAGCTGTGGCTTCCTTGATTTTTCCTTAGCATAAATCTGTTTATTTTCCCCAGTTAGCTTTCATTGTTTATTTCCACATCTATACCTTGTAGCTGTAATAGTACTAATTATCTTGGCCTTGGTCTCCAATGACATCCTTACCTTTTAGGGTCACAGTAAGTTTTTTCATAGGTCTAAGGTTTCTAATTTGTTGGTGGCGATTTGCATTTTCATTGATGATTAAATGTATGTATAGAATTTTTTTAACAATTTCTATTTCTTCATTGCTAATAGTTACATTATTCTTCAGTGTAGTCATTGATCAAAATCCTCTTGCATAGCTTACATCAGCATTGGGGAAATGATGTCACCTGCAGCAGCGCAGCCTGGCATCTAAGGGAGCTTAACATAGCTGCTAAAATCCTAATTGTTTGTGTGCAAGTTAGGTGACTTTGCACATGACTTTCTGAAGCCACCTGGTTTGTGCACAGTGAGATCACTGTGGGGAGTCTAATTAGCAAACACTCATTAAGAGTTCTGCCCTGGTGTTGAACTGACTACTGTAAGTGGCATAATTGCACCTATACAGGCGTAAGTCACTCACTGTGCTTGGGTGCATCCAAGAGAAAATTTCACCAATCAAATATAAATACAGTAAAAACTAGAAAAAAATAAATGGGCACAGAAAAGAAAACAAGTGCTGCAGAAAACTCAGCAGAATAAACTGGCTTTGCCCAAGCATTTAAAAATCAGTAACAGCAACCTCAAGTGGATGATGTATGTTGGTGGCCTTACTTTTAAGTTTGTCTGTTCTGGCTGTTGGAATGGATAGAGCGTATAAGCCACATTAGCAAAATAATCACATCCATTACTTTTAGAAATAGTTTGTATTAGTAGTAGAGGCCTCAAGATTTGGTTAGAAAGAACAACTGTTTTTTATTGATGTAAAATTATTCCGAGATGAAGGTCCTGTGACTTTACCTCTTGTCAAAAAAGGCGTGGACAATCTTGGACCTAATTGGATTGAATTCCAAGTCAGGGATGCGATCAAAGTTCTCCTTGCTGTAGAAGTAGAAAGGACATAACTGAATGAGGATTTCCCAAAGGCAGAATTACTATTGAGGATAGCACACATCTTAGTATAGGGGTGGACAGCGTTGATGGAGTAGGACAGTGGTTCCCAAACTTTTTCAGCTGGCAAGTCCCCCCAATAGTTTGGGTGAAGGGGGGGAGAGAAAGGAGTGGGAAGCAGGGAAAAAGTCAAAAATGTTTGGGAACCACTGATTTAAGGGAAGTGAAGAAGGAAGGAAAGAGAAAGAAGTCTAAAGGAGGGAGGAGAAGGGAAGGGAAGGCAGACGGAGGGAGGAATGTTGCCAGGCATCAAGAGAAACTGAGACCAGGGTGAAGGCAGGGCCAGAGGTCCTGGGCAGTTCTCTTGGCTTGGCCTGGCCTGGCCCCTTGACGGGTGAGAGGATGGGGTCCCCTTCCCTGTAGGAGCCCGGACCTCAACCCACCCTCCTCCTGGGCCAGCGGGAGCCCTCATGCCTGCTCCCTCCAGCTGGCTTTGCCTGGGGCAGTCCCAGGAGGGGAGAGCATGGGAGGAGGAATGCATGATATGGGCTGTGGGTGGGGGGAGAAGGGGGTCCGGGGGAGTACCCTTTCCTCCCCTGCCTGCCCCATAGCAAACTTTCATGCTGGATGGGAGGCAGAGGATCTCCCCCTCCTGCACTGTGCAGGCTCCCAGGGTGGCCCTCCCCTCCCTGCAGCTGCTCAGCCAGCAAGCCCCTTGGAGGCCCCAAAGGCACTAAGGCAAGCGATCGGCAGGATTTGGGCCCACGGGAGTTGTGTGGGTAATCCAGGTGCCCCGCCACACCGCCTTCCACAGGTTCCCAATCAGAAGGAGCACCGTGGGTGTCCCTGACAAGAGGAAAGGCCTGCCTAAAGAGCCAGGTTTTGAATTTGCGCTTAAAAACACCCAGTGAGGACGACAGACAAATTTCCAGGGGGAGATTGTTCCAAAGACCACTGCTGAGAAGGCCCCATTTCTTGTTCTTTCTCTCCGGGCCTCAAACAAAGGCAGGAAGGGAAGAACCTAAACCCCAAAATATTGTTGGGCACTAAACAGGGAAAAGAGGGTGGGAGGAGAGGAAAAGAAGGGAGGTTGGTGAGGGGGAGTCCACAGCACTCCTGCTGAGGGTTCACAGCACACCGGTGTGCCGAGGTGCACACTTTGGGAACTCCTGGCATAGGGGATCATATTTTTGCCCTAATTCCTGCCACAGGCTGCAACAGGCCCCCAAATGGGAAAAAAAATTGTATCAAAATTTTGTAAAAATACCTAGATGGATACTTTTGGTTTTGAGTGGGACAAGCTGGGGATGGTTGGGGCCCCCTGTGGTTCCCACCTCTTTAAAACAAAAGCTGCCTTCTAGGATGGAAAAGAGGAAACATTTTTGATAAAATATGAGTGAGAGTTTAACCACAGACATGTCTCATGGCTGCACGCAGCCCATGACTGCAGTTTGTCTTCCTGTGGTTTACTCATAGGACATGCGATTCTATATCTACCTTCCTAAAGTAAAATTAAAAGGCAGAAGAGAGAAAGAGTGTCAAATTACCAGGAAAAGTAAGATATAATTCAGAGGAAACAATTCAGCAGCACAGACTATATTGTTTTGAACATCCACACTAATTATGGTACACACACATAAACATCCAAGCAGTATGATCAAAATTAAGTCATGTCCTAACTCAATAAATAAATAAATAAATAAATAAATAAATAAATAAATAAATAAATAAATTATAAACTGCAAATAATTTCTCCACATTTATTTTAAAAGATTATTTACCTTCTTATAGACAATCAGGGGAATGAAAACATGTATTCCCGGTGTTTTTTAATCCCATCAGCAGCAAACAGATACTGTGACATCCTCCTCACACGTCACAATGGTCACGACACTCTCTCATTCACACTTTACTCGCTGCCACCAACCACACTTATTGATCTGACTCATCAGACAATGGTATGGATTTAAAAATTAAAAAGGATTGTTTATTGAGAAAACATAAATAATAGTAAATCACTGTAGGAACTAAATAAAGCAATCAATGTAATAAAGTATCCCCCTCAATCATTCTCTCATTCAGACCTACTCTAGCACAGAACCTCATAACTTGAATAAACAGGCCCTAACACTCTATCTCATCCCAATCTCCCCAAAATCCCCAAATCTCCCCAATCTCCAAATCTCTCCAATCTACCTTCACCACATTCACTCCCCCCTTATATACATTAACTCCACCCACTGAAGTCCCACCTCCTGTCCTGCCATAGGCAGATAAACTCCAGCCATAGCAGTGACAGGCAGGTGACATCATCACAGCCGTCACATATACTAAAGTGGGATGGGGTTACTTGTGGTCAAGACCTCATGGCGCCTTCAGGCTGTTTCATCACAAAAGGTGTAGTCAGGTTTTTGAAATGAAACCAGCCAACCAGAGGTTTCAAAATCACAACAGCCAATTGCTGATACTGGTGGTAAGACAATGGCCCTAAAAAGTATAAAAAGAAGCCTCTGATAACCTACTTCCTTTTGGCCCCACATTTTGGAAGAGGCAGATGAAGTGAGTGTCCCTTCTTTTGCAAATTCATTTTTAAAATATGGGGGGGGGGGTGTCTTGCCATAACATATAATACTTTCTTTGCAATTTTAGACATAAATTGGTGGAGGCTGCACTGGAAACAGGTGAAATGGAAAAGGAGCTTGAAAAGGCCTAGCTGCATCAGTTTATCTAAGAGCTGGTCTAACAACTGCTAGAGTTGTGTTTTGACCTTGATTCAAAAGAAGAGTGAGGTATTTAATATTTCTGCTATGTTTAGTGCCTAGTTTCTTTTGGTTATACAATTAAACAATTTTACAAACACTTTATTTTAAAGACATTTATGCTGGGAAAAGCAGCCACTTTAAATAAAAGTAATGCTTGCAAAAAGCTATGGTTTTCAAACTCATGCTGTAGTTTGGCTGTTCTCTGTCCACAGTCTCAAAATTGTTCACACTCCTGTCCCTCCACCCTTGGACATGGAGGCAAAATGCAGTTACTGCTGAGTTGCTAAATGTGATCTCATAAAGTTAAAGGCTTGAGAATTTTTAAAAGCCTTTTTAGGTGGTATAGGTGGTGATTTAAAACAAACATTTTAAAATTTCAACCTTTTTCTAACAGGGCCTGCTAAACTGCTGCCAGAGTACAGTATGAACCCCCAAACCTTCAACAGCTGAACCACTGCTAGCCTCTGAAGCTTTGGTGAATAGACCAGCACCAGAGCAAGCTGAGAACCCACAAGCTTCAAAGACAATCTATCAAGCCATGAACATCACAGTAAAGCCAATAAATAAACAAACAAATAAATAAATAAATAAAAGTTGAAACATCACATTGTGGACACTTTACTCACAACAAATATAATGCCCTTGAAAAACAGAAAGTGGACACTAACACACCTAACCCAACCTCTGGCTCTGCAACCAGCCTTTCTAACAATACCCAAAGAAACCTTTAGCGAGACCCGAAAGCCTGCTTCCAGTAGAAAAGCAAAGACACAGATTCCAAACCCCGGACATATTTTCCCTATCAAGATCTTAATTGACACTCCGGAATTAATAATTTCAGGAGTGTCTTTAAAGAAAATGGGTAGTTGACTATTAGTACAAGGGGGCCTTGAAGCTTTTTAGAATAAAGTTATTTTAAAGCTCCTGCCCACTCCTGTAGGATCGTCGCTGAAGGCCTCCTGAATTCCTGCCTTACACTCTATCCACTATGACACCTTAGCTGTAAACAGGTCATATAACCCACTTTCAACCCACAACGTGACCTAACAGGAACATCCATCCTGACCCGATGAAGGCTCAGCCTGACTGTTAACTGCCTCTCAGTTTGCAGAGACACAGACCAGATTGTGACCTCATTCTGACATCAGTGACATCAGAGGATTCTGACCTATGGCTAAGCTGGTTAGGAGAATTGTGGGAGCTGCAGTCAAAGAAAGCAACTTTATCAGCCTCTGCTTGGCATGTGATGAGCTTGCCCAAGGCGATGCGAGCCAGCTCTTCCTTCCTGAAGGTACAGTGGGAAATCCAACTCCCAACCTCTGGCTCCACAACCAGCCTTCGTAACAATACCCAAAGAGACTTTAAGCGTAATCCGAAAGCCTACTTCCAGTCGAAAAGCAAAGACACAGATCCCAAATCCTGGGGATCACTCATTACCTGAAGTGTGACATTCTCAGTCACAGGACATAGTTTCCCTATCAATAGCTTAATTGACACTCAGGAATGAATAATTTCAGGAGCATCTTTAAAGACAATAGGTAGTTGACTATTAGTACAAGGTGGCCTTGAAGCCTTTCAGATAGAGTTATTTTTAAGCTCCTGCCCACTCCTGTAGGATTGTCGCTGAAGGCCTCCTGAGTTCCTGCCTGACACTCTATCCACTATGACAGCATAACTGTCAAAGGGTCATATAACCCACTTTCAACCCTCAACTTGACCTAACAGGAAGATCCATCCTGATCAGATGAAGGCTCAGCCTGACTGTTAACTGCCTCTCAGTTTGCAGAGACACAGACCAGACTGTGACCTCATTCTGACATCAGAGGATTCTGACCTATGGCTAGGCTGGTTAGGAGAATTGTGGGACCTACAGTCAAAGAAAGCAACTTTATCAAGCCCTGCTTGGCATGTGATGAGCTTGCCCAAGGCGACACAGGCCAGCTCTTCCTCCCTGAAGCCACAGCGGGAAATCCAACTCCCAACCTGTTGCTCCACAACCAGTAGAAAAGCAAAGACACAGATTCCAAACCCTGGGGATCACTCGTTACCTGAAGTGTGACATCCTCAGTCACAGGACATCTTTTCACTATCAAAATCTTAATTGACACTCCGGAATTAATAATTTCAGGAGTGTCTTTAAAGAAAATGGGTAGTTGACTATTAGTACAAGGGGCCCTGAATCTTCAGAAGAAAGTTATTTTTAAGCTCCTGCTCACTCCTCTAGGTTCC